TATAGATAGTGTACATACACTATACTATGTCCGAGTTGGCTTCAGCATCCTGCTGGGTGAGATTGTAAGCCCTGCCCTAGATAAGAGGTCATCCCTGATTCTGGTTCCTTGGGCACTCTGTCGCATAATGTTGGGCACTACCACATATGCGACAGGTGTTGTTAAGGCGGTAGCAGGGTCAGTCCCCGTAATCTTTGCCGCAATGCTGACAGATCTTACCATGTCCTACCATTGGAGCCTGAAGTGGAGCCTGGATCACCAGTCTGGGTCTCTTGTTCTGTTGGACAGACACAATAGGTGTTGGTCTGTGGGGTGGAGCTGAGGGTATGAGGTTCTCTGCTGCCTGAGGGAGGGTGTGGAAGCTTCTATCCACCAGTTGTGCCTTGGCCAGAACGGCCGAATAGGTCCTTAGCTCCAGCACAAACAAATACCGCCTGATCTTTGAGCGGAGGCCCCACTGGAACCTCCTAGCTTTCATGCCCTCATCCAACAACGTCTCAGGGGAGTATCGGTCCTACTTTAGAAACCTACGAGCATATTCTGACACAGTCATGTTTCCCTGGACCAAGTGGACGAACTCTATCTCCTTCAGATGTCGGAGATATTCTAGGAGGTACTCTGCATGAAAGGCTGCTAGGAACTGTTTCCAAGTAACTAGAATAGATAGGGTGGTCTGTTTGAGTTCCCACAAGCGGTCTGCTTCTCCCACTAGCATGTAGGTAGCAAGGGTGATCTTCTGCTCAGAAGTCACCCCTAGGGTCTTGAAGACCTTCTTAGTCTTTGCCAACCAGTACTCAGCATCTTCAAAAGAGGATCCCCCTGCAAAAGTGGATGAGTTTAGTCTCTTATACCTCTCTATGTAGCCCGGGTTAATCGTGGGAGGAACTCGGTCCTGTAGAAACGGGACTGGGCCAAGCTGAGGATAGATCGGGGGGCCCTGTGGTGGTACTTGCGGATATGGTGGGGGCACCGGATTGTACTATGGCGGTGCCGGACGGTACTCTGGATGGGGCACCGGATCATACTGCGGTGATACCGGGTGGTACTGTAGAGGAATAGGGTCGTACCGGGGTGGCTCGGGATCCTCTCGCTGCAGTGGTGGCTCAACCTGTGGCAGTGGGGGAGGGTCAGGTAGCTCCATCCTCTCCTCTCGGCCCTGCTGAGTAGCAATGAGTCTCTATAGCATCTCAAATATCCTGTCAACGTCTTCCCTAAGCGAACCATCATGGACTGCTCAGTTTAGTGGGGGTCTTCATCTTTTCATCTCTCTGTACCTGCATTTCACAAGGAAAGGTTGAGTGGTAATTCATTGGTTTGGTGTTTCTCTAAGTATTATTGTGTAAGAGATGGGTCCGAGGAACGCGGCTTTGATACCAACTATAATGGCCCCGGAAATTCAAAAGAAAATATATAATAATTTAAGTGCGGAAGCGAAATAAAAAATTAAGGTTTATATCCCTTACACAATAACTTAAAAGTACTAAACAAACATCACGAAATGAATTTTTTGAAAGAAACACAAGAAATGAGAAAAACAAAGGAAAATATAAAGTATCTAGCATCTACTCGCAGTCTTCTTACGGATCGGGCTCAGGAATCAGGTCCTTTTGATCTGAAATAGTTTAATAAGGAATGAGTTATACTAGTCTAGTAAGGATATCACACTATATCGCTGGCACAGAAGTAAAGGTTGGTAGAAAATCAAAATAACCAATGGAGCAGTAGATTTAAACCAATATATTTATTTAAAATAAAACTATTACCCTTTTACTTACCATTGGGGAATTTATGTAAACAAATTATAGAAGCAATAATATCATACATATCATAACTTCATGCCCAATCAGCAACATAGAACAGATCATAAATTCATATTTATTAACAATAAACTAAATCATAACTGTTTCTCGTTTCACCAGCCTACTAATATCTAGGGGATCCATAGGGGTGTCCCCGCTACACGTGAATCATTTCCCTTGACAATCTTAATTACAGAGTCGTCTCCATACCCTGTCCGGTATGAGTGCAAAGACATTCAAACCTCAATACCCCGTCCGGTATGAGGGTGAAGCAGGCTTCCTCATACCCCGTCCGGTATGAGCGCTAAATGATCAAGTCTCCATACCTCGTCCGGTATGAGACAACGTTCTGGTAGGGTTCCCTATGAATCCGGTCCGTCTACCATCTCTTAGGATATCTTGTGAGGCTGTCATCTTATCTATTTATCAGATCACACCCATTTCCTATTTTTCCTTAGTCCCCGTTACCAAATCAAACATAGATACATAAACAAGTAAACATGCATCCGACAAGGCAATCATATCTTAGATCCCATAATCAAACAGTGGTCAAGTAAGGCAGTAATACATGCATTTAAACCATACAATATATAAACCAAATACCATCATACTTTTAGATTGTAAAATAAATCAACAGAAATAAACAGAAAACAATGTTCGATTTGGGCTCTATTAGCAATCCATAATTAATCAAGCATATTCATTTAATTTGTACAAAAGATCGTGTTATTATTTATTTGAACTTCAATTCTATGATAAGAAATAGGGTGAGGGGTCCTTACATGATTTGACACTGAAAAGCTAAATGGCTTACTGCGTCTATGGTCAGTCCCTGAGTTTCTTAAATTTCTTTTTAGAAATTGAAATACGCTTACGGTACGTACAAATATCTCAAATAACCCAAAATCAGACCAAAGGCCTACTAGACTAATTTCAGAAATCCGGCACGACGGCGATCTGCCTCGGGTTGGTTGTTTTCGACTGTTTTCTGCCGAATTCAGCCAAACTTGCATCGGTTTATGTGAAAAAACACACTTAGGGCCTTTAGTTAGCCGAAAAAACGTAAAAAATTGAAACTGACTGGCGGCGGGGCCCTCTGGTGCGGCGGCTCCTCTGGCTCACATTGCAGTTGGACTTTTTGCTCTGGTCAACCTGTAGAGAAGGAAACGGTAATCACAACGGTGGAAACATTACGCAAAACGGGAATCGGGAAGGGCCTCATCGGAGGCAGTTTGTGAAATTTCCTGCGACGGCGTCGCTGAGTTTCGGCGGTATTTTTCGACCAATTGACCGGTTCTTTCACTCCGATTTGGCCTTGGGTGGGTTAAAAATTGAATTTCATGCAATTGGGGAACTTGTTTGGCGGTTGAAAATTTTTCCGGTGCGGTGGCAGATAGCGGTGGTCGGCTCCCTGGCGGTTGGGCTGTCTTCTCCGGTGAAGGGCTCTGGCGGCTAGGGTTAGGGTTTGGATACAGATGATGTTATTTATACCCATCCGCTTTTGATCTGGGTCGTCCATCGCTTTTGATCTGGACTGTCCGATCGCGATTAAATAGGGAGTGAATTTAGGTCGTTCATCGCGATTCAATCTGAGCTGTCCGTGCGCGATTCAATTTGGGCTGTCTGTGCGTGCGGGAACGGACCTCAGCCATTCGATCGTGCGCACGCAGATCGCCCACATGGCTCCCACTCGCGTGGCTCCCGCGTCAGCGCCTCTGCCACCTGACGCGTCCTGGTTGGTCGGGGTTGCTGACCGGACATATAACGTGGCAAAATTTTTTTAAATTGTATTTTGACGGGGTTTTTTTGAATTTTCTTTTAAAAATACCCCGAGAACCCAAATTGTCATCCATTTTTTTAAAGTTATTTTTAATTTAATCCTTAACAAATTTTTACCCCTTTTTTCCATTAAAATAAAAAAAAATAAAATAAATATAAATATTAAAAAACAAAAATAAAATTAAAACAATTGTTGGGTGTTACATGTAATTCACCGAAACTTTAATTTATGAAAAATATCGAAGTTAGAATAATTTTAGGTAAGTTTGTGTAGTTAAAAGATTAGGGGCAAAGTTTAAAATTAAAAAAAGAGTATAAGACATAATTGAAATTTCAGAAAAGAAAAGAAGATTTTTGAAAAGAAAGAAGAGAGGGTGTCGGGAAGAGATTGATGGTGTTGAGAAGAGAGTTTGAGAGAGAAAAAAGAGTCTTTAGAGAGAGAAAGAGAGAGAGAATACATAGATGAGAAAGAGAGAGTATTTTAAAGAGAGAGACTAGTTTTAGAGAGAGAAATATATAGAGAGAAAAGAGATGAAAGAGAGAAGAGAGAGATAGAGATCAAAATAGACAAAATAAATATATTTGAGATTCATTTCCAAAAGATTACATATATTGGATTTGATTTACAACTAATATTTATAAATATGACATGGTACATGAAATTCTTATCAACTATTATAATTATTTGGATATGAGAATTCTTACTAACCATGTAACTATTTGGGTACATAATTTATCAACCATGGCAACTGTTTAGTTTCTTAACAGTTGGACAGCTTCAAAAGAGGGCGCCAACACCTCTGGGAAGTCTTGGTGAGTCGCCAAATTTTATTAGTGGCTTGAAGCTTTAAATAGGTAGTATTGGATAAGGTGAGTAATAGAGCTCAACAGACTATCGAAAATAATGACGGAGACAATGACAAAATTGCAAAACTGATAACTTCCATATTGAAAGGGGTTTTGATGTCGAGGTTACTCTCTTTAGAGCATAAGGATTCTTTCCTGCGCACACCATAGAAGAACCACGAGTTAATAGTTATAGTAGAGTGAAGAAAAGAGAAAGAGAGAGAGAGAGAGATGGAATAAAGAGAAAAAAGTCATAGAAGATTTAAGAAGTCGATTTATGTTGAAGAAAAAATAATTTTTTAATAATTAATTTTTTTAAATCAATCTAAACGAGTTCCTATATAAATTATTTTAGTATTATATTAGATATCATGTGATATTTAACTTTTAATTAGACTAATTAAAAATTGTCTAATATAAATAAATTTAGTATGTAATATTAAATTAACAACATTAGCAGATAAAAATAGAGAGAAATTAAAGTGAAATTTTTTTAAAATATAAAAATTAGTTTCACACAAAATTGAAGTAGAAAAACAAAATTCAACAAAAATAAATAATATAGCGACGGAATTGTCATTTTAGCCTTCAGTCTCTCCATTTGTTTCTCCCTAGTTCCTTTGCACCCAAACAGCCCTGAACACCCGCAATCAGCAGAGCCCACCCTTCCCGACTTCTCCATTTCCAAATCGCTTCTCTCTCTCTCTCTCACCCCTCCTGTATCTCTTTACTCGATTGGTAAGTATGTTTTTCGGAATCTTTCCGGCTCCTATTTTAGAGTTCTCTTTTCTTGTTTTGGGACTTGTTTACTATGATCTAGATGCTATTAATGAGGCGATGAATTTTTGCTCGTCGGATTGGTTTGTTTAGCAACATTCGTTTTTCTTATTAGTTCATTGTTGTTTATTTGAGGATGCATGGATGAATGGGGATTTTGATGTTTTCCTTCTTCAGCTCCTCTCAAACCCCAAAACTAAACACTGCATCATTTTTGTGTTTTTTTTGTTGGGTTTCTTTATCCGCTTCATTATTTCACAGAATCTGGATATTTAATTGGGATACAGGCATAGTTATTTTATTGCTAGGATGTGTTTGGCTTTTACGAGTAAAATGGAAGAAACGGGAACAAATGAAAAGGCGGAGGTGGGATTTGAATCGGACCGTCTTTGCTCTCTCTAAGTTGATCTTGTGAGATTAGTAGTGGCCGCTTGTTGAAGCTGATGAAGATAATTCTCATTTTGTTCTTGGACGCTTTCGGTGGTGGATTTGTATACGGTTTGTTTGAAGTTGATCACTGCGTCACTTTAAATTTCAAGGAACATATCTCTTATATGTTTTTCGGTATCTCTAGGAAGTAGGAATACAGCTCAGTTGCCATAGAATTTGATGGGTTCTCCATGTATGGTGAGCTGTGATTTGCTGGGATCAATCTGAGATGGATTCACGATGACACTCTCTGTTGTCATTTAACACAAAATTTTATCCCAATATGTTTACTATTTAGGTAAAAAAGTAAGGTATTCTTTCTAACAACTTGGGCCTTCCAAGGAAATAAGCATAATAATGAATCAAATTTTCTCCTGTATGTCATATAATTTAAATAAGCATGTTATGGACGAATTTGAGATTTGAGATATTAGGGGACCAATTAATTATGCTTCTTTGTGTTTGTTATTTTGTATTTATTTACAGGATTTACAATCAACCAGCATGGCAGCAAAAATAGCTGCAAGGTATGTGTCTCGAAGGTTGTCAAGCAGTGGCAAAATACTTAGCGAGGAGGAAAAGGCTGCTGAAAATGTGTACATCAAGGTAGTGTAGATTCTTATGTTGGCGTCAGATTAAAGGACATTTTTTTTCTTCTATTTATTTGTTCTTCAATTTATCTTTCTAATTATTCTCTTGGTTCTTGCCTTCTTTTGACATCTAATGATTTGACCGTCTATCTTTTTAAGAATACTTACTTTGTGAGTTTTGCTATCCAATCAAGTCAGTTCTATTGATTTTCATTTTTTTTGCATGCTCTAGTGAAAATACATTTTTGAACATTGTTTAAAATAAAGCTGGAGCTAAAGATTGGTGATTTGGAGGTGTTTATCAGGTGCAACATGTAACAATTTAATCACTTCATGGAACTTGATGGTTTGAGCTTACTATAAAACCTGGTTCAAGTTACTGTTGTTTCAATTTTTCCTGGAAATATAATAGTATAAACTTGTACTGAATTTCGTTTTTCTTTTATTCTTCATTAATTCCTGATACAAGGCTATTAATCAATGGATGAATTGCACAAGTTTCTACTCTGGGGGTTCTTACTTTCTCCCAGCATTAGGCCCAAATGCTTGTGATTTCAGATATGCATGATTATATAAAATCTGAAGACAATTATGAATGCAATGAACATGACCAACTCTTTCTTGAAGCTAATCAATGGTTCTTAATTGTCACCGCCCTGTTCTCTATTAATAGTTACTATTACTCATAAACAATTAGGTTTTGCTTGTATTAGCCTTTGAGACCATGCAACAGCTTTAGTTAAAGTTTGCTGTATAAAATTCTTGTATTCTATGGTACCTATCTATTTTTTCTAATGTTGTTTTAATAAAAAATTATATTTCAGAAAATTGAGCAAGAGAAACTGGAGAAGCTTGCACGCAAGGTGAGACAAGCTGCAACAGTATATATTTTTGTTATGCTTTAGTTCCTAATACATAATTTAGTCATTAACCTTAAAACATTTTCACTCTTATCTCCTGATGTGTGGATTTCATGATTTTCAACTATTGTAAGGAAACTGTTCTGTGATTTCACTTAAGTTAGTTGAGAACTCTAATAGTGAGAATAAGATGGCAAAAGCATGGATGCACATGCATATCAATGCATACAAGAGCTTGTAGAATTAGACAGGATTTAGCCAAACTCCTTATTTGAGTGCTTGGAAGTGACTTTTTTGAATTTAGTCCTCATGCATCAATGGTTTTTCTTGTACCTACTTGGCAACTTTCTCCCTTGCGTGTGTAAGTTAGTCCTCATGTATCAATGGTTTTTCTTTTACTTAGTTGGCAATTTTCTCTCAAGCGTGTGTAATTTGGTTATGGTAGTTTTGAAACAAAATGTGGTTGTTCCAAAGATTTACCTAGGTGACATGTATGAAGTTGGTGGTTCTTGTGCTTTAGAAAATGATGGATTATTTACTTAATTCTTCTCCCATAGTTGTTAACTTCTGTAAAAAAACATGTTTATGTGGCTAGCTTTTTGTGTCTGTTTGATGTAGGACAAATACGGTTGATTTATCTAATCAAGGATTTGGGGATGAAAAACCTATATATCACATATAGAGTTTCTAGACATCACTTTTTAAGAAGTCTTAAGTATCATGTTTAAGAATTTGATTGCATCATATAACTAGAAAATTGAAAAAATCTGAAAATATATTGTTGAATACTTGAATGCTCCTCTCAAGAGGTTATGGTCATATTTATAGAGTGCTAATTAGGTTTTTCCCAATCAGATTAGGAAGTACCAAAATAGAAATACTACTTCTAACAAAATAGGAATACTAATATTAAAAAAGATTAGCAATACTAATCATAATACAAATAGAAAATTATTAGAGCAAATAGAAAAATTAAATATTAGAAATAATAAAATGCTAAAGTCACTAAAATTATAGTAGTACATATAATAGTGTTACATTTAAAAGAATTAAAATTTCTAATCTATTTAGGTATCAATCATTTTGCATCATTTTTTTTTGTTGGAGAAAACTCATCCACAAGTTTGAAGTGGCAAATGATATAAAAGCTTGATCTTCGAGTTTCCTTATGAAAATTTAACGAACTTTACATGTGGTCATTTTCTTTAATAGCAAATATGATAGAAATATGTAATTGTATAAGGGTGCGAAACCTGATAGTAGGATGAAATCAACATGTTGACAAATTTACACTTCAATTTCATCCTTGTACTAAATATTTTTAGACCCAGTTATTGGCGTAGGTTTCTCCTAAATTAAAGATAAGTGGATTTATACTTTTGGTTCTATTTTGTTAAGTCATGACATCAAAGATTAGGATAATTTTGGTTGGGTCATGGACTACTTAATAGAATTGTAATATATACTTTGTACATGGGCGGTACCCCCATGGTATCTTTGTGAATAATATTTCTTGTTTGATATTTCAAAAAAAAATTTGGCATAGATTTCTCCTTACATTAAACTTCCATAGAACTTTCTATTGCAATGAAACATCTTGAATAACCATAAGATCTTTAATCTTAGGGAGACATGATATTTCTTCTCGTTTCTCAACTTTGAAAGGGCCCTCTTTATCTTCTTTGTTGGCTGTAAGTGGCTTTGGATATTTATATTTATTCATCTCTTTTATGGTTAGAGACTTTAAGATTACATCCTTTATGTCGAATATAAAATGATAAGCGTTAGTAGTCTCATCATACTGAACATTTCGATCATAAAACGAAGGTTGGCCTAGAAAAATATGTGTGAACACCAAAGAAACTTTATTCAACAAGATTGGATCATTGTAAGTACTATACGAATAAAAACAAGACTTTGTTGAGTTACCAAAATGCTCGGATTATCCATCGAAGTTAATCTATATGGTCAGGGATGCAAATGCATATAAAGATTGACCCATTTAACTGTGGATCAAACAAGATTTTTGCAACATAGTTCATGAATGACAAGTTTCTTATATTTCTTTTGACAATAGGCTATGGTTTGTAAATATGCGAATGCTTAGGTTTTTTTTTTCTTTTGTTTTGGGGGGGGAGGTGTGATTTTCTGTTTTGGTTTTTTCCATGATTGGTTTGGGGTTAGGATTTTGAGAGGTTGGGTGTAGGATTCTTTTAGTTCAGATATGAAATTGATGTAAGACAAATAGGGTTAATTTGTCCAATTAAGGATTTGGGAGAAAGAACCTAAACATTAAACCTAGGATTTCGTAGACGTCACATTTAAGAAGTCTTAAATATCATGCTTAAACATTTGATTGTATCTCACGATAAGAGAATTGAGAGAATCTCAAAATATATTATTGAATACTTGAGTGCTCTTCTCAAGTGGTAACAATCATATTTGTAGAGTGCTAAGCATGTCTTTCTCAGGTAGATTAGGAAATACAAATACTAGTACAAGAGTACTGCTTCGAACAAATTAGAAATACTAATATTAAAAAGATTAGGAACACTAATTCTCGTACAAATAAGCAATGTTAAAATAAATACGAAAACTAAATACTAAAGAAGAGTAAAATCTTAAAATTACTAAAACTATAATAATAGACTCCTAAATAGTATAATAGTTTTACATTTAATAGAATTAAAATTTCAAATCTATTTAGACATAACTCATTCTGCATCACTGTGATTCCTCTATGACAAGAAGATACACGAGTACTGTGACATCTATTTGATGTAGCACAAAACATTAGAATAGAAAACAACAAAAGAAAAGGAAAAATTCACAAGCCTAGGATCTAAGATACAATTATAATCCAAAGATTGTCCTAAGCTCAATCATCTGGTTGTTAAGGATTTATTCAATGAGAGAATACCAGTTTAATCTTATTAACAAGTAATGTGAAAGACAATAGACTATCACCTATATATTTACAGGGTATTTTGACACCCTATTACATCTAGCATACTAAATAAAAAAGAATCTAATTTTAGGGGTAAAGGGCATTGTTACTTGTGTGTATGACCGCAACTTTCCTCTTTCTTTTTAGAGGAACTCTCTTGTCTCTGGTTTCTTTAACCCTTTCTGGTGTATTTTTGGGGTGACTTCTAATGCTTGTAGTTTTTCTTGTGACAAAATAGATGGGTTTAGGAGTATTCATCTAGGATTGAAAGCTAAAACTGAATTACGGGAAACATGTGGACTGAAGACTGGACCAGTTCGGTCTGGACGATGTGGACTGAGATACCCATAATACCACACTTCAAATTAAAGTGGATGTTCACAATTACTATTAATTAGCCTTGACTTTTGGCATATATGTATAGATATCTCTATCCACCAGCCTTGAAGATATATAATTTATGTTTATAAACACACAGACTCATATACACTAGCAACTTATAATTATTGAGTTGCATGTTAAATATGCTTTAATTATTACACAAACATTCTCATGAATCAGATGTTTTTACAAACACCCACCTATTTTTCTTCTATTGCCAAAGATGAACTAAAGGAGAAGTGTTGCTGAAGTCTGAAGATGTTGCTGGTGGCGGTGGAGGCTGGAGGTTGAAGTCTTGAACCTGCCAAAGAAGCTGAAGAAGAAGCTGGAGGCTGGCGGTGGAGTGAAGGAAGAAGAAGAAGAAGCTGAAGTGGCGCCAAGGTTTGATTTTAGGATTCAGGCTTCATCTGCCAATTTGTGGGCCTGGGTTGAAAATGAGATGGACTGCGTTGGAGGTCATTTTCTGGTTGAAACATGGTTAATTTTTGTGGCTGCAATTGCAACCCATTTTGGAGGCTGATATTTTTTTAAATGTTTGGGTTTTCATTCCATCCTTTATAGGATTAAGGGTGATTAACTATGTTTGATCTGGTTCTGTCTAATCAGTCCAGTTCAGACTGAGATTTGGGAATCCTAGGTGTGTCTAGGGTTACTTCCACTATTAGAGGTTTCAACACTTTCATACAGGATCATGAGCTAAGAGACCTTTCATTGTCGAACACACAATTTACTT